ATTCTGTTTTTCACTTTTAATACAATAGTCAATAAATTACAATGAAAACGTCAATACTTTATTATAAAATAGTATTTGTGTTAGATGATTTTGCCCAACTATAGGCTAATTTCAATGCTCTGAGTACTTTTAAGATAGGCTAGGATAAGCTATGATGTTTGGTAGGTTAGATGGATGAAATGGTTTTTCAATTTATGATATTTTCAATTTATGATGGGCTTATCAGGGCATAATTCTATCATAAGTTAAGAAGCATCTGTATTTCCTTTTAAGCCTAATTGAAAATGGTCCCCAGGTCAAATTCTACCCAGACAGTTAACAATTGAATACCAAAAGTGGTACTTTAAATAATTGTAGCAAGCTCTGAAGAGAGTCAGCATCCCTGAAATATTTACCTTATGCTGGCTCATCTTCAAGATTCTCAGGGTTCCTATGGTTGTATTTGTTGTTTGGGGGTAGATGGCAATTAATTGGGTATTTTCTTCCCTGTGTGAGTAAAAGGATCATCATTTTTTCCTCTTTAAAGCAACTAAATAATGCTGGTCACGTAATCCTAGTGACTCAGGAAGCTGAGGCAGGAGGATTACAAGTTCAAGGCCAGCCTCAGCAATTTAGTGAGGCCCTAGGCAACTTAATCAGACCCTATCTCAAAATACAAAATAATAATAAAAAAAAGGACTGGGGATAGCTCAGTGGTAGTGGGTCTCTGGGTTCAATTCCCCCCCCCCCCCCCGACACACACACACACACACACACAAACTAAATAACAAATTGTGTGGCTGAGAGACTTTGATTCTCAAATCTGAATTTCAGAATCTACCTATTTAAAATTTTGCTTTTCTCATTTTCAAAGTGGGGGATCTAATCAAGATGTGGGAAGAATAATGGTCTGAATGTCACAGTTCTAGAGCTCATCTGAACTCTAGCAAGAATTGACTGGACAATTCCAGACCATCTCTGCTTTTCAGGCTTGGATTTGATTAACTCTAAAAACATTAAATAACTACCACAGTTCCATGTTTCCTGAAGCTAGTTAAGGGTGACAGCATATTTCTCATACACTGCTAATACTAAAAGGGAGAACAATCACTGTCCCTTGGTGGGCAGGCCTTGGAGGTTTGGGGAAGATCCAAAGAAAGGGAAATGATGCAAGATGCTACAACCTCAAAGTCAGAGAGGGAAATGACTCTTATCTTAATGAGCAGCTCAGCTCGAGGGGTTCTAATGGTCTTTGGTGAGAATGGGAGGCAGGGGCTAAGATCTCAACCACAGGAGCCTGGGAGGCAGGTGACTGCTGTTTGTTTATTCAAGGTGCTGAATAGTATGTCCAACCTTCTGGGGGTCTGGTGCAGGCAGGGACCCAAGTCTCCTAGGAAGAGAGTAGGCTGCTGAGCTGTTCTGAATGGGTGTGTGGCAGGTGCAGAAGCTGGAGCTGCAAAGCCCTATCATTGGGGTGGCTTTTTAGTTCATGAACAGCTTCCTCACCTTAATTGGCTCTCTAGGGTCTTGGGAGTAGCACTGGCACCTCTGAACAGTACCTGTTACTGTGAGAACAATTCCCCTGGTACTGGGAAGGAGGCAGGCTGTGTTTGGGGGGATGTGCTTGCCCTGCTAGTACTGACTAGGAAGCTATGCTTGGAACAGATTTGCTGAGGGAAGGGAGTGCAAGGTTCTGTGATTGCTGGGCATGGTGGCACTTGCCTTAACTCTAGCAACTTGGGAGGCTATGACAGGAGAATCATAAGTTAAAGGCTAGCCTGAACAAATAAGTAAGACTCTTATTTGAGTGTAAAAATTAATTTTTTTTAAAAGACTGGGTATGTAGCTCAGTGGTAAAGTGACCCTGAGTTAAATCCTTAGTGTCACAAAAACAAGGTTCCTATGATGGAGGGGGGCCTGGAGGAACTTTTTGTCACTGGAACTCTCTCATTCAAGGAGGCTTGTCCTGAGTGAGTGCTGTAGAGGCCTGAGAATAGGAAAAGACCTTTCAGTTTGTCTCCAATGCTCACTTTACAGATGGGGCATTGGAACCCAGAAAAGGCCAAGATCCTGCTGAAGTTCACATAATTGTTCATGTGCAGAGCCAGGAAAAAAGTCTAACTCCCTTGCCTGGCAGTCCAGGGTTTGCTTGGGCTTGTAGGCTGTAAAAACTGCAGACCTAGAGTAATGTTGCTCTAGATTCTTCCCCCATTGTCTTTCTTCCCAGGCCCAGCTGGAAATGGGGTCATTCATTGGCTTTGCATGGAGTTTATCAGTATATCAAATTTTGGACTGACACTTTGAGATTTAGGGTCAAAAGAGGCAGAGGTACTATCAAATGAGATGAGCCCTCCTCTCACCTATATCTTCAACATTCCACTGAAGATATTTTCTTGGCATAAAAACCCTATCTCAGCTAAGTGGATCCTAGGACTATGGGTTCTGAAGGCTGTGAACCATATGTTCATCTCCACAGCCTCATCTAGTCACCTGACTTTCACGTTCAGCTTATGACTTCACTCAGATCTGTTGCTGCTCAGTCTCCTGGATATTCCTGGTTGACCTCAGCTTATTCTGTATTCCTTCCTATAGTGATATTTTTTTTTTTCTGATATCATTGTACCTATTGCCATTCTGAGTTATGTTCCCAAATTCTGTAGCTTCAACCCTGATCATTCCCTCTGACTCTGGGCCTACATTTTAGCTACCTAAAGCCTACCAGTTTCTTTCAGTTCAGAATAGAAACTTGGTGCCTTCAAGTCTCTTCCCAATAGGGACTCAAATTAATTTTATAGCCTCATTTCCTACCATTTCTCAACATGTCTTAGCCTTACTAATATTCTCCTAAAGAGGACCTACATTTTGGCATTTATAATCTGTTTATAATGTTCCCTCTTTCTGAATTCCCTTTCCTTTTTAGAAACATCCTACCCAAATTTAAAGGTCCAGCTCAAATGTGAATCAGTTATCAGAACTAGAGCTCACAGGAATGAGAGTGGCCTTGGGAACAAACAGGAACCCCCAAATCATAATTGAATCCCAAAGGGTGAGGTTAGAACAACTTAAGAAGCTGTTGCTGTAGGGTAGATGTGGGTAATTTTTTGTATAAAAGAGTAAATAGTAAATGTTTATGTCTTTGCTAGACATAAGTCTGTCACAACTACTTAATTCTGCCATTGTAGCACAAAAGCAGCCATTAACAACAGAAATGAAATAGGCATGATTATGTTCCAATAAATGGTTCCATAACCATGTTATTTATTTGCAAAAACAGGCAGGCTGTAGTTTTCTGACCTGTTTTAGGCACTGGGGAAATTGGGTGAGTTTGAACTTATGGGTGTCATCAAATAGGAATAACCAGGCAGGGATAGAAAAATATGGAAAGAGGGGCTGGAATTGTGGCTCAGTGGTAGAGCGTTTGCCTAGCACGGGTGGGACCTGGGTTCGATCTTCAGCACCACATAAAATAAAGGAATTGTGTTGTGTCCATCTACACCTAATTTTTTTTTTAAAGTCTATCCCAGGGCAATAAAAAAAAAAGAAAAATATGAAAGGATAAGATGGGATTTGGCAATTGCCCTCTTCCTCTTCCACCTGTCTCTGTTCATGACAGCCTATCCACTTAACTCAACATACCACTGCTACCCACAACATCCAATTTTGGTCATGTCCTACCAGTTCTGTCTCTCTCCCACCCCCACCCGATACCAGGGATTGAACCTAGGGGCACTTAACCACTGAACCACATCCTGAGTTCTTTTTATATTTTATTTGAGACAGGGTCTCACTGAGTTGCTTAGGGCTTCCTTAAATTGCTGAGACTGGCTTTGAACTCACAATCCTCCTGTCTTAGCCTCCCAGGCTGTTGGAATTATAGGCATGTGCCATCAAACCCAGCTCTTCTGTCCCTTTGTTCCACTTCTGCCCTCATCGAGGATTTCATTAATACTTAACTGGACAAGCCTCCTTTCTGACCTCCCTGCTTCCAGTTCACCATGATAATCAGTTGTAAAGCCCAGCTCAGTCATGGTTCAGAACCTTTTTGCATTTTCTTTTAGTATAAAGGACAGGCTCCTTAGCTTAGCATTCAGAGCCTTTCAGAGCTTACTCTCCTGCCAGTCTCTCCAAGTTCATTCCCTGCAGCTCCCCCTCATTCAGATTTTGTAATTATCCAGTACTTGAAGTCTTGCTACATCCTAATGTCTTTCCTCCAACTCGACCCTGTTTTTCCTTCCTGCTTATGTGTGACTTTATCTCTCTGGGGGGTAGATTTAGCTGCCAAGGGGCACACCTTCCAGGACCATTGTGCATCAAAAATATGTGTCTTCTCCATCTGAAGTCCTAATCCTCTGCTTGTGACGGACCTTTGGTCACTATAGCAACTGACTGTGACGTCACAGGATAAGGACTTCAGGTGAAGTGGCAGGAGCCAGGTGAGTGTGTAGGAGAGAGATTTTAATGTCTGACGTAGGCCCCCCCACACACCCTCCTTTAGTGCTGGGGGCATGGAGGGATCTCTCGGGCTCCTGCTGTTTTTTAAAATGATGCAGTGAGAGTGTGTGCCTGGCATCTGCGTGCTGCAGCAGTATGGGGCTGTCAGAGTGTGTCAACTTGAGCTCTGGCTGTGCAGGCACCGCTGCTGCGTGAGCCTGTTATTCCATTCTGGATTGCTATTTTGATACCCAGATTGCATCATTCTTCCTACGTATAAACAGGGGGTCCCCAGGGCCCCGCAGCTACTCACTTCTCCACCAACACTGTTGTTGTGATGAGCTCTATTTAAATGAGCTGCCGGATCCGGGCAGGTTCCAGCCACACATGAGCATTGTCATTTTGGGGAACATGGAGGGCTGAAGGATTTTTGGATCGAGTCCTAAAAGGCTGAGAGTGATGGCCTCCCGAGCTGTGCAGAGGGCGACAGAGCTAGTTCCTGAAAGTTGAAAATCTCGTTTTCTTCCTTCTGAGCTTCTATTCCAAGGCACCCAGAGGATTAGGAAGGAGATGCAGCTAGGAAGAGAGTCGCCTCTTTGAGGTCTCCCTCTTGCTGTTCAGTTTGGCAAAATTGCTGCAGAGGCTTCGAGATAAACAGGAACAGGAGGAGTCAACCAAGCTCTCTCTTGCAGGAGCATCTCAGGTGAGCTAGAGAAATGCAGCCCTGGCTGTGCATCAAAGCAAGGAGGAGAAGCTCCAGGCTGCTCCCCCTACCCCACCCACAACCCAGCTCCCTGAGGCTTAGGCCTTGTAGCCTTGCTGGCTGCAGCATGCAGGGGGGGGGGTGCTCCTGGGCTCCTGGCAAGCACCATCCTCTGGGACCTGTGGTGGTCTTACCTGTCGCTCCTCTGACTTCTCTCCTCTGACTTCTCTCCAAGGTGTTGCTCTAATCACAGGGCAGCAGGGCGACAGGTAAGCCTGCAGGCTGCCAGGGGCAAAATTGGCAATCATCTTAGGGGTGTCTTGAATTGAAGTCTATCTTTCTAGCAGAGACTGAGCATCTGAAGAGTGGGTGCAGCATGTTTCTTGAAGGTGATACTCTCTGAATTATGGGTTAGAGGTCGACTTCAGGCGTTGTGGTAGGGCCCTTACCTGATGCTTTCTGGGGCTGTCTGGAGTGGAACGGCATGAGTAGTTAGTGAGAATGACCAACCTGTAAGAGCATGCAACCAGAGTGTTTTTCCACCTTGCTTAGTGCTTGGTAGAGGCACAGTGAGGTAGAGTGTCTTACCTGTGGCTATAGAGGGAATCAAGGACTGTTCAGTGGTTCAGGGTACCCCCTGTTTTACAAGGGCTATGTGAGTTTTAGCTAAGTCCCTGCCTGTCTCAGGCATCCATGTCACCCTTCATGTGGTAGGGAATAGGCTAGATGAACAGTGAAGGTCTGTCCAGCTTTGATTCTACATGTGGGTACTAGAAGAGGAGTGTAAGAATATCCCACTACTCTGTCAATGTCAGATTGTAGGCCCCAGCTACAAAGTTGCCTGGATCCATGGACAAGATCTGAGGAATGAAAGGCTTCTCAACCCTTAACATTGGACTCAGGCTTCTGCATCTGGCATGTTTGTGCTTACCTGGTAGCATAAGCTCACATAATACTAGCTTTCTGAGGCCTCTTTGGGATTTTTCTCTCACTCTAATCCTCTGGTACCCAGGTTGCTTTGGCCCTGCCTTTCATGTCTGTAGGCCTTCTTTCCTGGCTGCCTCACTAAATCTTAGGCTCAGCACATTCTCTAGGCCCCTGTCATATTGCCAAACCTCAGGCCACACCCTAAGCCTGGGCCTTTTAGTTAAGGTTTAAATCAAGGGAGACAAAATGTATCTTCCAATTCAGTACCAATCCCCAGGGTATCTGGGTATCAGGACATCCTTCTGTCTATTGGGAATCTGCCCTTTTCTCTGCCAAAGGGGAAATCCATCACAGCTACATTCATAGTTTTTCTGAACTTTCTGCCTTTTTCATCTTCATGATATGGGGGACAGAGCTACCAGGAAAAGAAAGAATTCTAAGGTGCTGGTCCCCAAACTTGGTAATAAATTATAATCACCTGGAGCATTAAAAAAATGCTGATGACTAGACCACCTCCTGAAATTCTTATTTAATTGGCATGGGATTTGTGGTGTGTGTGTGTGTGTGTGTGTGTGTGTGTGTGTGTGTGTGTGTGTGCGCGCGCGCGCGAGCACACCTGAGTTGCACTGGGGATCGGATCTGAGGCCTTTTACATATTAGGCAAGTGCTCTGAACTCTAACATTGAGTATATCCCTAGTCACCCCATCTGGATATTTAAAAATTCCACTTATGATTCAAATTTATAGCAAAGTTTGAGAACCACTACTCTATTAAATGAACCTGCCTTCAGATTTATTTTTTTCTAAGGCGTAAAACCTCCATTTCACTTGACTTTTCCCAAAGGTTTTATTTCTTAAAACTTTAAGCACAGCTCCCAACTCCTTCTGGATTCCCAGAGTCCAGAGCTGAGTCCAGGTCATTATTATAGTTGGATTATTATTATTTTAAATATCTTTTTTTGTTGGTGATAGACCTTTATTTTATATATTTACATGTGGTGCTGAGTGCCTCACACATGCCAGGCAAGTGTGCTACCACTGAGCCACAGCCACAGCTCCTATAATTGGAATATTATTATGGAATATTTTATTTAAATCATTTGCCTAGTTAATTAAATTATTTTGTTTATGTACAATTTAGTTGTAAAAGAGAAAACATAGTGGAAAGGGCATGGTTTTAGAGACAGATGGACTTGGGTTCCAATCAGTTCTGTCCTTGCCAGTAGGATCTTTTTTTTTTTTTTTTTTTTGGAGTACCGTGGATTGAACTCAGAGGTAGCCACATCCCACGTCCTTTTTTGTATTTTATTTAGAGACAGGGTATCACTGAATTGCTTAGTGCCTTGCTTTTGCTGAGGCTGCTTTGAACTCGTAATCCTCCTGCCTCAACCTCCCAAGCTGCTAGGATTGTAGGCATGTGCCACCACGCCTGGCCTTGTATGATATTTGAAAGATGATAGCTTCTTGGAACCTCCAGTTGTAAAATGGAGACAATGCCTATTTCCCAAAGATGGTCTGATGGTTAAATGAGATAACATATGTAAAGTGCCTGGCACAGAAAGTAATGGAAAACAGATGAAAATTTGTCCCATACCTCCTTGGGACCAGAAGTTTTCATTTTAATGACTGATGGCCTGAACAACCTTGGCTTTCACAACTATTCTCCCATGTCCCTAGGTCCCTATAAAACTTCCTCATTTTGGAAGCAGAAGCCCCATTTCTCTGGGACAATCAGATGGCCTTGGGATCTGGCTCTCAGAATTGATGTTCCTGTGTGTAAAATAAAAGCTCAAGCCTGTTGATTGATAATTCAAATAGAAATAAGAACTATTACAAATAATATTTTATGTATGGTATGATTAAATATGTATCAATAACTGAATTAACAATGAATATTGTAAGTACATGTTTGGTACAATGATTCTCCATCTCTGCTCTCTGCAGCATACCCCTTCAGAAGGATGGTCTCTTAAATCCAGGCTTCCCCTCAGCCCCAAGCCTGTCCTGAGTATCGTACAAGGATGTTAGCCAGGTTACTAATTGGCTGGCTGTCCATTCTCATCTTGCCCAGATGAATGTTTCAGAAGCCTAGCTATAGTGGCAAAGGATTAGGTGAACTATACTTTAATCGTAATTGTGGATTAGTTTTGTATGTAGAATATGAACAGGTAGTTAAAATACAGTGTGATACTTGTTACGGGATGTCCAAGGTGCTATGAGAACCCAGAAGAGGAACTAATTAACTCATTCTGGGGGAAATAAATTCTGCTTCTTGAAAGTGGGATATTTGAACAGGTTTGAAAGGATGGATGAAGTTTATCTGTATAGAAGGGGAACAAGAAAGTATTTCAGGGAGAGGATACAACATTTTCACAGCCACACAAAGATTTGTTCTGTTCAGGAGATGGCAGAAATATTTGGTGTGGCAAAAACAGTATTCTTGGAAGATGAAGCTAGAGATGATACTAGAGGGAGATAAGCCCAATTTGAAAAAGGTTCTTGAATGACAGACTGAGTATTTTGGCTTTAAGGCCATCACAAGAGGATGTGTGATAAGGCCTTGTTTGATTGATTCATTTCTTTCTCTGTTTTCATCCCCTCCCACCCCTGGTACTGGGTTTGGATGAATCCAGGGGCATTCTGTTGTTGAGCTACATCCTAGCTTTTTTATTTTTTAAAATAAAAAAGAGATAGGGTCTCACTAAATTGAAGAGGCTGGCCTGGAACTTGCTATCCTCCTGGTTCAGCCTTCCTAGTTCCTGGGAGTACAGGTGTGTGCCACTGTGCTTGGCTTCATTCTGTTAATGAAGCCATGTTACTGTGATGAATGCTTGGGCAGCGGGTACCAGGGAATTAGAAGTTTTGGGGAAATCATTTTTGACAATTAGAGCAGCATTTCTGACTGACAGGTAGATAAGGAGGCTTCCTCTAGAAGCCACCTGATTGCCTGGATGATGTCTCCTGTAAAGAACATCCTTCTCTACCTCTGGCCACAGTTCTTGACCAGTGGGAAAATGCCCAGGAGATTCCAGATGCAATTCTGTAATTAATATTCATGACTCTGCAAAGACTAGGGGAGTTTTTCTTTTGCAGGGGGAAAACAATGTTGAACTATAATTTAAATGATTTTGTGGATTTTGATTTTTCCAGATTATAGCAATTAGCTTTTGCTGTTCAATAAGGCACCCCAAAACTTAATGGTTAAAGCAACTGAACTTAATTCAGTTTATGATTCTACAGGTTGACAATCTGGGCTTAGATTCTCTGGGTGGTTGTTCTGGGATAGGCTGGACTTGGCTAATCTTGATTCTACTCATTCTTGTGTCAGAGTTTCAACCTGTAGGTTTCTTGGGGCTAGCTGGTATAGGATGGCCTCAGGGGTATGTATGAGACAACTAAGGCCTCTCTCTAACAAATAAGGCCATCTTCTAAAAATCTTGGGCCTCAATTTAAATTTTTCACATGGCAGTCTTAGAGTTAGTTCTAAGAGCAAGAGCAGAACCACATAAAGCCCCTAAACTCGGAACTTGGTCATTGTTGCTTTTGTTGCAATTCATTGGTCAAAACAAGTCACAGGACCAGCCTAGATTTAAAGGATGGAAAGAACTACTTTTTTTTTAAATTAAGGAAATAGATGCAAGGAGGGGAAGAATTGGTGGCAACTTTTTAAATCTGCTACTCAAGATTTTCTGGATTTCATCGCCAGGAAGAGAATTAAGCCCAGTTGGTAATTGAGGCTATTGCTCTGCTATAAATGGAATATGAGGAATCTTTTGAATTCAGAGGTAACATCCATGGAGGATTATGTGTTTTTTTTTCTTTGATTTTCTTTTTTGTTTTTGTGGTATTAGGGATTGTACCTAGGGGTACTCTACCACTGAGCTACACCCCCAGCCCTTATAATTTTAGTTTGAGACAGGGTCTTGCTAAGTTATTGAGTCTGGCTTTGAACTTCCTTCTGCCTCTCAGCCTCCTAGTCTGTGAAATAACAGGTGTGTGCTACTGTGCCCAGTTGGATTATGTGTTTTCTTAAGTATTATCTAATTTAATTCTCATAGCAATGCTTATTTTCCTTTCCATTTTATATATGATGAACAAGCACAGGGGAGTTAAGTGAGATTAGGTGATTTGCCCAAGGTCATTGGGTGGTGAATCTGGTATTTGGATTTACATTTGTCCAACTGCAAATCTGGAGCAACTGCTGTTGTACCATTCATTTCTATGTTAATGAGATAAGACAGAGAATATTGGTAGCACTGCTGCAATTACTTCCATAGCCAGCCCCTTTCTGGGTCCTTCTCATGCCTGGACACAGGTATCTTGCCCTAACTGAGTAGCTCATTTCTTTGTTTCTAGTTGACTGACTACTTTTGGGATGAGCCTGAGGAATCACAATAGCTTCTGGGGTGTCAGTCTTATGCCATTTATATAGTTCAGAAGTGCACTTTGTGGAAGAATATGTTAGAGACTATTGCATTTTTCTGGGGAGGAAAAAGTCAAGTTGGTCATTCAGGAATTAAAACACACACACACACACACACACACACACACACATACATATACATGCATACGGCTGGGATTTGGGATGTGGAATGAGGAAGAGAGCAGCAGAAAGGTACCTGATTATCAGAAGCAGAGTAGGGTTGGGTTTGTAGTAGCAGGTTCATTCTACTACATGAGGGGAGGAAGGTAGGAATAGGTAAAATTAGGAATATGAGGAGACCAGACGGTCTAAAGGGAAGGCCTCTGGTGGGATGATCATGTTCAAAATACCTACATGATAACAGCAGACTATGTCATCACATGCAGCTCATTTTGGCCTACGTGGTTATTTCCACATATTTTGATGCTGCATATCTGAAAGTCTCTGCCTAGGCCTTGTATATAATCTTTTATGTTGCCCTGACTCTGTTGTCATTCTTTTCCCCCTAGAGCTCATCTCCTGTCCTGGATGTAAGCGAGTGTATCTTACCAGGGATGTAACTGAACATTTTTTTCTACAGTGCTTTCCTACTGGGCACCCCAAAATGGCCAGGGTAAGTCAAAAGGTGGTCCTTTTCAGATTTGTAAGGTGTCTTTTCATAAGTCTTCACCCATTACTCTGATAGTTCCTCCTCCATTGATTTTCCTAATCATTCATCCATCCGTCCAATCATCCATCTATTATCTAAAATGAAATAAAAGATTTTGAGCCTGGAGAAGCAAAGCAGGAATTTTTTTATCAAGTGAAAATTATAGGCGTGTGTATGTGGCACACATAGGTGTGTGTGTGTGTGTGTGTGTGTGTGTGTGTGTGTGTGTGTGTGTGAATGCTTTTAGTGGAAGGTGAATGTATTTTAAAGTACATTAAGTATTGCTTAATTTATCTAGGTGTTTTCCTCTTTCTTATAGCTCTTACTGAAAAACATAAGTACAGGGCTTTTATTTCCATTTTTCCCCCAAGTTGAAAATTACACACTAGCCTGGATTTAATGGGCCCATTAATTTTGCCTATATTTAACAACTATCACTTTTCTCCTTATTTCTAAATTTCACATCACTTACTGACTAGTACTCCTTCTGTTCCTCTTTCCACTGGGGTATCTTTACTATTACATTTATTCATTCAATATTTTTTTTACCTGTTCCTGTATCTGATTCTTATTGAACATCTATTATATGTCAGGCCCTATGCTATGCTATGTGCTAAGTATATAGACCCATAGACTCATGCATTCAATTTCTAAGGAATTTATAGTATAATTATAAAACTTTGAGACTTCATTTCAGTTTGATGGCCTGTATGATTCAGCATAGACAGGTCAAGTTTCCCCAAATCTTCTCTTTTTCTGATGTTTTACATCAGCCCTAGCAAGGTATTTGCTACCAAATGAATGAATATTTGAACCCTATAGGAAAAGACTAGGTACTCTCAGGCCAGACAGACCCCAGGTGTGGAAACACAGCTTTGAAAGTTTTTCTATACTTGGTTTATCTTGGGTGTATATGTCATCTTTTTGTGTACTACCAAATCTGGGGCTTTCTCCCCTCAGAAGGCAGGTTAAATGTTCTACTTTTTCTTGCCTTTTTTTTTTTGTACTGGGGACTGAATCCTGGGGCACTTTACCACTGAGCTACAGGGTCAGACTGAGACAGGGTCAGTCTTGCTGAGTTACTGAGGGCTTTGCTAAATTGCCAAGGATGGCCTCAATCTTGTGATCCTCCTACAGCCTCCCAAGTCATTGGGCTCACAAGCATGTGCTGAAGCGCAAGTCTTATTTTTAGTTTTTTTTTTTTTTTTTGAGACATGATCTTGCTGTGTTGCCCAGGCTGGTCACAAATAGTTGGACTAAAGAGATCCCTCCTCCTCAGCCTCCTGAGTGCTGGGATTACAGGCATGTACTACCACACCCCACTGTGCTTTCCCTCTATTATAATTTTTTCCTCCCTGTCTGCCTGGTGAACCTGCTTGTCATTCATTATCCAACTCAAACATTACCTCTTGATGAAACTTTCCTGACCATTTCTAGGTCAAGTTCCTGGAAACCCCCCTTTTGCTTCCTTAGCACCTGTCACATCTTTTTTTCACAGTATTACCCATTTAATGGGCACCACCCTGCCTAGGTTGTATATGTCTTCAGGGTAGATCCTTGGCTTATTCATGTGAGTATCTTCAGCCTTGGCACAGAACTTGTGTGAACAGCACCTAGAGCATCCACTTTTTTGTTACAAAGGGTACTTTCCCTCACTAGCACTGCCAGGTGACTCTACAGTAGACTGTACCCCAAATAGTAGAAGAACAACCCTGCAAAACCCCAGTCTCTGGAACATTTGATACTTGTAGAGCAATGCAGATATGGCTAGTAATTCTACATTCTCTACTTTCAGAACTGCTCTGAGTGCAAGGAGAAGAGGGCAGCACACATCCTCTGTACCTACTGCAATCGCTGGCTGTGCAGCTCCTGCACAGAGGAACACCGCCATGGCCCTGCCCCTGGGGGCTCTATCTTTCCCAGGGCCCAGAAGGGATCTTCAGGTACCACTCCTGCCTCTCCCACCTGGCTCTCATGCCCTGAGACAGTAGTAAACCTGAGAATCCCTGGAGAATTGTTTTCTGATATTATTTCCCAGCTAAGGGAGAAAGTAAGTGTGCTTCCAGAGCCTTCTCAAAGGGAGGAAGTCTCTTTTACAGTCTAAGGGGGTGACTCATTCCAGCTTCTCCCTGTTGGGGTCGGGTGGGTAGGTGTGGGTGAGATGGTGCAGAGAGCATAATCTTTTTTTTAATTTTAATTTTTTAGTTGTAGATGGACACAATACCTTTATGTTTTTTTACGTGGTGCTGAGATTGAACCCAGTGCCTCACATGTGCCATGCAAGCACTCTACTACTGAGCTACAACCCAGACCCAAAGAGAGCATAATCTTGAATTATCATGGGAGCTAGCTGAGTTTTACCTTCTACCTCTGTTTAGAGCAATTATGCCTCACTTCTATTTAGTGACTTATTAACTTAGTATGGATCATGGCTTGTCTTTGTCCATCCAACACTATCTGTTATAAAAGACAGTCTTGAAAGGCTTTTATTAAGGCCCTTGAATTATGGGGAAAGGGGTTCTACAGTTGTCAAACTCATAGGAAAGGGAGCTGTTGGCCAGGCTAAGAAGCTGGTTTCAATCCCATGATAACAATTCTAATTAATGAAGAAGTTTAGGTTAATTTTAGAGGGTTTATTATTCTGCAGGAGACCCACATACAGCTTTAGTAAGCACCTTCCTCAGCTTCTGGCAGGTGGCAGGATGCTAGGGCTTGGTGGTGTGTTATTTCTGGACAGCTGAACCTAGATCCTCCTAGGCTAAGCCTAAATTCCTCCTTGTCTTCTTGCCCATCCTGGAAAGAAGCATATCCTGTTTGTACCACCTTTCCCAAGCTCTGTGTCTCTGTGGTGTTTGTTGAGGCCTGAGGGCTGAAGGCTGCTCAGTGAACTTAACTGAGAAGTCTACCAGAGCAGGAGAAGCCCACTTTCTCTATCTTCTGTGGCAGGAGTGAATGGTGATTCTGGGGACTTTGCTTTGTACTGTCCTCTACACACACATGAAGTGCTCAAGCTATTCTGCGAGACCTGTGATGTGCTCACATGCCATAGCTGCCTGATGGTGGAACACAAAGAACATAGGTGAGGCTTGTGGGTTGCCAGAAATGGGCTTGGGAGGACTCTGAATTTCTTACTTGTGAGGACTGTGGCTCCCAGAGCATCAAAATCCTCTTGCTGCCCAAGCCAACCTGCAGTCCTTGAGCTGAAGTGTTTCTCTGCTCCTGTTATGGCTTCTCTTGAGAAAGTTTAATGGGCCAAGAGCCTGCAGTGCATCTGTCTCAAGATATAATCATGGCCTCACTGGGCCTGGCTGAAACTATATACTATAGGGACTCCTGCTTGATTAGCATGGTCAGAATAGCAGCCAATCCTCCTCAGGTTTTTTCTTGTCTCCTCCCCTAGATGCAGACATGTTGAAGAAGTTCTACAAAACCAGAGGATGCTTCTGGAAAGTGTGACTGCACAGGTGGCACATAAGAAATCCAGTCTACAGACATCTGCAAAGCAAATTGAGGACAGGTAGCACAGGCTAGTCCCTTGCCAGTGCTAGAAATGCTCTGCTCCCTCACATTCTAGGTCCTGGCACTAGGCAATCAGATGTGGTGTCCATGGAAAAGACATGTGGTTAAAGAGATGTGGGCATGTCCTAGAAGGCAGGCATCCTGGCCTTAGAGGCCTCAAGGCTGGTGAGGATCTTTGGGTCATCACTTGGTTAACTGAGGCTCATAATGATCAGAGTGAATCTGGGCCAAATATTTGCCTCATGAAACTAGCCAGAAGTGCCTGCTTGAGAATAGTTACACAGTAGATACTGGAGAAGAGTTCTGCTATTTATTTTTGAGGTTATAACAAGTCAGTGGCAGTTTGTTTTCCATAAAAAATCTACAAAAGAGGGCTGTGGCTGTGGCTCAGCAGTAGCACATTTGCCTGGCATGTGTGAGGCACTGGGTTCAGTTCTCAGCACTGCATATAAATAAATAAAATAAAGGTCTATCAACAATTAAAAACAAATATATTTTAAAAATCTACAATGACATAAAATCATTGTTATTTTTTATTTTTATTTATTTTTTTAGTCATACATGACAGTAGAATGCATTTTGATATATAATACATACATGGAATGTACATACATCAATCATATTTTCTATGTTCTATTCTGCTGCCCTTCCTATCCTCCCTATTCCTCCCCTCCTCTCCCATCCTTTCTCTCTATCCAATCTAATGTGACACACTTTTTTTAACATAAAATCACTGGAAATGATTTTATAGGAAAATTAGTAAGAACTGAAAGCTAATCACATGGGAGACTGGGTTGGGCATCATACATTAATTATTTTTTTTATTCTAGAAATTCTTTCAGTCAGGAATTATCTCCATTTTATTGATGAAGAGACTGAGGTTCAGAGAGGTTAGGTGATTTACCTGAGATCATACAACTAATTAGTGACTAAACTGGATTTGGAAGCTAGGTCTGTGGTGACTTCAAAGCCTCTGTCCTTACTTTTTAAAATATCTTTACTGAAATATAATTTATATACCATAAAATTAACATTTAAAAAGGCATAATTAATTAGTTTTTGCTATTTCACTGAATTGTGCAAATGTATGTAATTATTATCTACTTTTAGAACATTTTTGTAGCCTTAGAAAGAAACCCCATATACCTTATTAATCTTGTTCTTCTCCTTTTCTCACCCCTGCCAGTCCTCAGAAATGACTGGTCTACTTTCCATCTCTACCCAAGTTCTTTTTCTAAATAAATTTTTTGATTTGTTTTAGTTATACATGATAGTAGAAAGCATTTATGCACTTTGATATATCATACATAGATGGGATATAATTTTTCATTTTTTCCGAGTGCACATGTTGTAGAATCATATTGGTCGTGCAGTCACATATATACATAAAGTAATAATGTCTGTTTCATTCTACTATCTTTCCTATCCCCACATTCCATCCTATCCCCATCCCTTCACTTCCCTCTACCTAATCTAAGGTAATACTGTTCTTCTCTAGTGTCCCCTGCCTTATTGTGAATTAATATCCACATATTAGAGAAAACATTTGGCCTTTGGTTTTGGGGATTGGATTATTTCACTTAGCATGATATTCTCCAACTCCATCCATTTAATGACTAATGCCATGATTTCTCTCTTCTTTAAAGCTGAGTAATATTCCATTTAGTATATATACCACATTTTCTTTATCCATTCATCTATTGAAGAACACCTAAGTTCTTTTTACCTCATGACATTGTTTCTTGGAGTTTCATCCTTTTTTAGACACCAAATTGTATGACATGCCCATATTCACTCTCTCCATCCTGTGTCTAGTGCTATGCCAAATGTTGAGCTTCTGGATATACGTGTATGTAGACTTAGACTTGAGGTTTTGCCTAGAAAAACACAAATTAACTTTTGGTGATGTGACATATGGGGTGTGTGTGTGTGAGGGTGCTGGGATTTGAATCCAAGGCCTCATACATGCCCGAAAAGCACTTTATCACTGAGCTCTATCTTCAACCCCAAAAGTTAACTTTTGGGCCACTGGCTCACTGAGATCAAGTGGACTGGGCTTTTACAAAGGGTTGGGGGGTGTGTAGGAAGTTTTTTTTTTTTCTTTTTTTGGTGCCTGCTGGGCCCTGATCTCTGTAGACAGTTTCTAAATTGCTGACTTTTAGCTTCCTTGTCTCTTGACCCTTACGGGCCATGAGGGAAGGGCTCATCTGTTTCATCCCATTGTGCTTACAGGATTTTTGAAGTGAAGCATCAGCACAGGAAGGTGGAAAACCAGATCAAAATGGCCAAGATGGTCCTGATGAATGAGCTGAACAAACAGGCCAATGGACTCATAGAGGAGTTGGAGGTATATGTAGATGGATCAGATGGATGAGTTCTATGCTCTCCTGGATCAGAGACCAGGCATATATGAAACTAGTCCCAGGGCCCAAAACATCTGGGGCTAGAATTCAGATATGCAGTTTCCATAGGTCTCTATTACTTGTGTATTAAAATTTCCAGCCTAATTTGGGGAAGATGGCTCATTAAGGGCTATGAGATCAGTTCAGACTTTCAGTTCAAACTCTCTTAGGCAGCTGCCATCCTTGACTGTTCAAGGTTATAGATTTAGAAGTGTCACAAAACAGCCCATCTTCTTCAGTGGGTTATTCCCAAGAGATGTAGACATTCATTTATTTCCTCATTCTTTATCCATTGCATATTTGCCACCATCTCTCCCTTTCTCTACCTGTCAGTAGCCCATGGCAGCACTTTGTCCTGCTGTTCTTCTCTCAGGGGTACAATCTTATCTGACTCCATCAGTGCTTACACTAATACACACAGACCACTAGAGTTTCCAAGCAGGTCTAAGAACAAGATCAGAGACTGTCTTCTCTCTCTGTACCAAGGGCATTACTAATGAGAGAAAGCGGAAGTTGGAACAGCAATTACAGAGCATTGTGGTTCTCAACCGTCAGTTTGAGCATGTGCAGAATTTCATCAATTGGGCTGTCTGCAGCAAAACCAGCGTTCCTTTCCTTTTCAGCAAAGAGCTGGTAAGAGGAACCTCCCATCCCTTAGCATGTCCTTGAGGCTGATCATATCATCCTCTCTGTCATAGGGTAATAAGGCTGCCCTGGGAAGTGCCTTTTCTTTTAACAGAATGGAAAAAGCAGCTCTATCCATCCTTCAAATTCAGTCACTGCTTTTGTGCTGAAATATTTCCACCTTCCTCTAGTTAACTTAGCTAGGAAAGTCTGTAGTTCTTTGTCTTAGGTCATGGATTTAGAAATTGTCCTGAACATGAGCAGTGGTGCAAATATGTCACAGAAAGTTATTGAGGTCCGAATGGGAGGCTAAGAGGAAAGGAGGAGTTGAAGTTTTAGCCTTGGGAGGATGGTGATACCCAGGAGAAAGAGGAAAAAGTTTGAGAGAAGTTTATATTTGGATATGTTGTCTAAGGGGGCCTGTAGAGCTTCTAAAAGGCAACATCAAAAAGGTGTTTTGGTAGATGAGTGTGGAAATCAGAGAAAAGTCAGGGTTGGAGATTGAGATGAGGAAGTAACTGGGATATTGGTGGTATCACCATTAGGAGAGTGTGTGGAGAAAGAAGAGAAAGGCAAGTCTGGAATCCAGGGAATACCATCATTTTCTGTGTAGTAAGAGAAAGAGGGTGACTGAAAAGTAATGAGAAGAAATTATCAGAAATTGGAGGAGAAATAGGAGAGTGTGGTACACAGAAATTGACAATTTCAATTTTAAATGGTCAGTGTTGTCCATGAAATAGAACAACACTGAAACAGCATAAATAGTGAAGAGACACATGAGATCTGTCAATCAGAAAGTTCCTGGTGATCTTTTGAAAGAAGTTCTAGCAAAATTGAAGAGTAGGAAGCCAGTATGAGGAGACTAATGATGGAACATGGGAAAGTAGAGATAGAAGGGAAATAAGTAGCTTGAGAAAGAGGCAGAGTTGGGAGAAAAATTTCCTTTCCAAACAATATGCATACATTTATAGGGGAGAATAGGTTGACAAAGAGGAGAGATGTGTAATGGAGTAAGCATACAGACAAGGCAGGACAAGGTAGGATCCTAGAGTGAACCAGTTGAACTCAAACTCAAGGACACTCCCTCTGAGATGGGAGAACAGAAAGGGAACAGTATAATATAGCTCAGTGTGGAAATACACAATTGGGGAGTTTTTTTCAGAGGGAGAGTTAAAATGTTTTATTGGTACATAATAATTACACAAAATAGTGGATTTCACTGTGGCATCTTCATACATGCATATAAAATAATTTGATCCATTTCAGGGGAGTTTTTTTTTAATGGTCTCTTCCTCTGCGAAGTTGAAAATGATAATAAGAGGGTTAGGCATTGGGTGAGTGGCACTGAAGATTTAGTCACTGAGAAAAGTGGGAGAGAAAGGAGACAAGAAGTGATAAGAAAAAGGGTTGAGGGTGAAATTAATGCTCTCATATGTAGCCCTGCATAACATGGCTTTGGGATGTCTAGATTGACCTAAGTTTAGAAATTGGTGATGGGGAGAGAATTAGGGCACTGATGATACTGTAAAATGATGGGAAGCCGGGAAGACCCTCTGGACTGGTGGAGCCTGCTTAGATAGTCCAGTAAAGTTGAAGCAAATGCTCTGAAAGAGTAAGAACTAGTTATAATCTGGGAGTAGATTTTTGGAGTATAAGGTCTTGTAGGTAGAATGGTTCTAAATGCCAAAGAGGGTCTAGATATGGTGACTGAGCTGAAAAATGGGGTAAAGGTGACTGACATTAAAATATTTTTCAAATAAATAAGAGGTAGTTAACTAGATGATATCAGAGTAAGTTGGATACTTGCCAGAGTTCTGGAGATAAGAGTTAGTGATGGAAAATAGATGAGAGTAATTACAGAGGAGGAGGGCAACTGACTAGGATGGAAGGATGTTGGTAGAAGGACAGCAATGGGGAGCTCAGAGAATGTCTGCCCTGTATAGTCTTTTATATTGAGGCAGTAGAATGAATGGAGCTTTCTAGGGCAACTGTTGTCCTGAGGGGGAATTACAAATCACTTGGGCCTTGGAGGAGATAAAAATGTTGGGATCCCAGAAACCTTGACTTAGATGGGAGAATGAGAAGGTACTAAGGTGAAAGGGAATGAGAATATGGGGAATGACCTGAGGCTGAAGAGGCATGACTTTTGAGCTCTTCAGCCTATCAAAAGAACAAGGGAGGGGGGTTTCATTCAAGCACAAGTTGCCCATATAAATGACCTTTCGTGCTGTTGTCAGATTGTGTTTCAGATGCAGCGATTGCTTGAGACAAATTGTAATACAGATCCTGGTTCCCCTTGGAGTATCAGATTCACCTGGGAGCCTAACTTCTGGACCAAGCAGCTGGCTTCCCTTGGTAAGCCAGGAACTACTCTGTAGGCTTTCAACAAATTGCTAAGAATAAATATAGGAAATCTTAACTTACTGATAGGTCAGGATATACCCAGGAAAAATCCTGAGATTGCCAGTGGTCATGAAGTCACTTTGCAAACTTTTTCTTTGTGTGTGTGTGTGTGTGTGTGTGTGTGTGTGTGTGTGTGTATGGCGGGGGAGGATGGGGCAGCTAAATGACAGAGGCAGTATAGGACTTTGTAATAACATTATAGAAGTCATGCCTGTGTTGACAGCCTAATGAGCTTGTTAAAATAATGACCAACTGCTGCCTTCATTTGATGCCATTAATCTCACTGAAAGTTTTTTGAACTTGGCACAATGATAAGTGGTATTTAGATTTATTTTTGCCTTCCCTCTTCCCTTTGATTTAACTCAGCATACCTTTGGTGGGCACCTGTTCTGGTTTAGGCACTAAAGGACCAAAGATGGATCAAACACACCCCTTGCCCTTTAGAAGCTGTCTTCCCCTAAGTAAATTTCATCTATACAAGATCAATAATATAATCCATTCATACACTAGGGGCCCAGAGATTCCAGAGGGCAGTGCTGGTGTCTGGCACTGACCTGGTATGGGAGCTTCCCTATGCTCTTCCATCTTACTTGCTCAACATACAGTTCCTCAGACTTGTATCTGGAGACTTATCCGAGAGATGCCTGTCTTACCTTTGCTACTTTTTAGCATAAGCCCTTCTTGCACCCAATGTTGATTCTTTTAGTCAGACTTTCCATAGGGCTGATGTGTTAGAAAACGAGTGGGTGCTATTTGAAGGAGCCCATGGTTTCTTTAGTAAGATAGGAACAGAGTCAGAACTGATGATCTGGTAAAAACAGCTAATTCTTAAATTTAACTGCCTGCTAAAGCAGGTTCTTGCAGGTGCTATTACTGGCAGCATTCTAGACTGAGTTTTGGAAATCAGAAGTTGAATTTATTAATCTTTATACTTGGTACAGGTTTGTTGAATAATGTCCTTTAGTCCTAGGGGTAGGAAGTAGCAAGTGGTGGGGAACAACTGCATATTACATTTGGAAAAACTCTCTGTTCTGAATTTCCAGGCTGCATAACTACTGAAGGTGGACAGCTCTCCCGGACAGATACTCCTGCTTATGGAGGTTTGCAGGGGCCATCTTCCTTTTATCAAAGCCACCAACCCCCAGTGGCTCAGCAAGAGTCTCTCAGCCACTCTTCACACAAGTTCCAGCCTCCGGCTTTGTGTTCTTCATCTGTGTGCTGCTCCCACTGCTCCCCCATCTCACCCTCCCTCAAAGGCCAGATCCCTCCACCCAGCATACACACAACCCAGAGTTTTAGACAGCCCTCTGAGATGGTACCCCAACAGTTGGGGTCACTGCAGTGCTCTACCCTGCTGACCAGGGAGAAGGAGCTGGCCTGTAGCAGTCATCCCCCAAAACTGCTACAGCCATGGCTGGAAACCCAGCCCCCTGTAGAACAGGAAAACACATCCCAGCGGCCTGGGCAGCAGCAGCTGACTTCCCAGCCCGTGTGCATAGTCCCACCACAGGACATTCAGCAAGGAACCCATGCTCAATCCACCTTACAGACTCCCTCCATTCAAGTCCAGTTTGGCCACCACCAGAAGCTGAAGCTTAGCCACTTTCAGCAGCAGCCACAGCAGCAGCTGCCACCTCCTCCACCTCCACCACCTCCACCCCTGCAGCAGCCACCCTTACCTCTACCTCCATCGCAGCATCTGGCTTCGGGTCAACATGAGAATCCTCCTGGGCCTGCCTGTTCCCAGAATGTGGACATAATGCACCATAAATTTGAGCTGGAGGAGATGCAGAAGGACTTGGAGCTGCTCCTCCAGGCTCAGCAGCCCAGCCTGCAGCTGAGTCAGACCAAATCTCCTCAGCATCTACAACAAACCATTGTGGGGCAGATAAACTACATTGTGAGGCAGCCAGCACCTGTCCAGTCCCAGAGCCAGGAGGACACCCTGCAGGTGAGCTGCCTCATCCAAGAACTCTTCGGAAAACTCAGCCTCTCCATTCACAGGGTGGCACAGGAAATAGTTTCATCATCTTAGGGTGGCCTTAAGCTCAGACCTCACATTTCACAACTACCTTAGATTCAAGCTCCTACCTTAGAGAAGCTCCAGAGAACATAGTACTTAATCCCAACATAGATCTGGGCTTGAGGGATGGAGTAAGGTATTCATTAGATCCTAGTGGTTGGCACTTTCTAACACTATACAGACATTACTTAAACTTTATATCACATCTACTGAGCTATGCATATGGTTTTCTATAACCATATCATTTATCCATTAACACCATTGTTCAGTAGGCATCACCATGCAGAAGTAGGGGTTAGACAGGGCAAGCAGTTTGCCTAGAGATTATATAATTTTTAGAAGTAGAGATAAAGACTTGGAGCCAGGTCTTCTGACTTTTCTATAATGTCACATAAGAGGCCTTGTTCCTTCCTTAAGGGGAAATTGAATGCTGCTCCTCTAATTTCTCAGCTAAAATATAAGTAATCAAAGAGGCATAGTTTGTAACTTCTGGAATCTTTGCTGCATTCCACATCTTCATTCTTAGCTCCTGTTTTGTTTTATCTCGTGCTATAGCCCCTTGTCACTACGCCTTCTCACTTTTACTGTGGTAGTGTCTCTTTTAAACCTATAATTACACTTACATCATCAAAGAAGCTCCATAGATTTTTACTTTATTTCAAAATGTGAGGTCTCACAATTATGCGCCAACATTGACAACTTCAGATAATGCTTCAAATGACATCTCCAGTGACTTCAATCCTTTGAGAGGGGATGTGGAATAATTATTGTGATGCCAGAAAAGGGGCCAGGGTTTATTGAGGACTGTAGCTAAATGTAAGTCAAAACTGTGTTATGGGGCTAGGGACGTAGCTAAGTGGTAGAGCACTCGCCTTGCATGCACTAGGTCTTGGGTTAGATCCCTAGCACCATAAAACAAACAACGAAAACCTGTATTGTAACTGTTAAGGTTAAATTGCTGACAGAGTTAGCTCAGAATTCTTGTTTTTGATTCTATTATAAGACTATCACATTAGGATGTAGTTTTAGGAAAAATTTAGATGACAGTATTTTTTTTTTTAATTTTAAGTAGTTCACCATGTGTAGGTAGTAGCAGGAAGGGTACTAGATCTTGCTGTTGCTGCTACTCTCTGCAGTAAAACCCACTGAAGTTGTTATTCCCTCTTCTAGGTTACAGATGAGCCTCCAGCATCTGAGGGCCCAAAGCCAGCTCTCCCTCTTGAGAAGAATGTTGCTGCTTCCTTGCCCCAGACATCTGGGGAGGAAACTTCTCATAGTGTCCCCTCTATGGACAACACCAACCAGCACTCCTCTCCAAATGTGGTGAGAAAGGTACTAATGGAGACTGCTTCCCCTGACCTGAGACCTACTGCCAGCCAAGACCCCAGGCACCTGGATGAGGATGATGGGTTGGGGGGAGGAGTGTCCCTATTCCATCCCTGGATGCTACACAGTCCTGATTCATGCCTTCTGTCCTAATGAATCAGCAACATAAGTCCTTCTCCACCTCCATTTCCACTCCCACATACATGCTTAAAATGGGGCCTACTGGGCTTCATTTAGGGGAAAGGGAAAGAGAGCCAATTTATTGAATGCTACTCTGTGCTTAGAACTATATATATGGTCTCTCTCAAGCATTATTCACTTAACCTTCCCAACAATTTTATCAGTTGGGCATCACCATTGTGTAGCTAAGGAAACTGAAGTCCAGAGCTCTATAGCCATAGAGGAAAGCGCTGAGGTTTAGTTAAAATAAGATCTGTTGGAATCCAGAGCCTGAACTTTTTCCATCCTATAATGAAAATGGGGAAAGTATTTTATGTAGCCTCCACAACCCAAAGTTTATTGCCTTAGAATTTGAATCAGTTGAATTTGTTGGGTAAGTTGTCTGCAGAGATGTCCTGCAGAGGTAGCTGAGCACCTAGGGATACTGAGATCTCTTGAAGATGAATAATCAGAGGACTTCCTGTTTACTTGCCTACTAACTTGCTAGCAGTGTTCATTTACCCTTGCAATAATCCAGATCCCCAGAGCTCCTCATCTGTCTACTCCTACCTATGCCCTTCACCCCTACCCTTTACCTTCTTCTAGCTTAGACCTCAGTACTGAGACATATGCTCCACTCACCCCTTCTTGTGTCCCTTGTCCCTGTTCCACTTATCCTATTGCTTTCTCAGATCTAGTGTCCTCAGTCTTCCTGGTGCATCCATCTAGACCTGGACTTGAAACTCTGTCAGCTATCTATACCCTCCTAGCTTGTTTCTTCAGCCTTACAACATCCCTCTGTCTGTAGTCCAATTTCTGCGAGTTGCTTATTATACTGCTTCTCACTAAGTTTCTCCAGCTGCACCACCATCATATATGTCTTGGATCAGTAAATCTCCATAATTCTTGAGAAAAGAGTTTAGAAAAGGAAGGAATGGTAAAAATGAAATGTTAACTTGGAAATTTCTGGTGACTCTTGAAGTCTGGGACAGCCTCTGATATTAGTGGTCTTTTGACTGTATCTTGCCTTTAAAAATTACTTGGCCTAGAATCTCAAGGGGTGCTGTAAATAGGCTCTTTGTGGTTCTTAAATATTTAATCTTATAAATTTGGGCCACCCATCCATCCATTTATTTATAATTTTAATGTTAAAAATAACACACACACATACACACACACACACACACACAAAAAAAAAAACCTCCACAAATCTCCTACTGTGTTTCAAATATTTTTCCAGCACACGTTGGTGGATAAGGTAGTTCTGTACTGCAGTTTACAGTCTGGTGGGAGAGATAAATAAGAAAAAACAATAAATTATAATGAAGTACTGTGGTAGTCATTAAGGTGTACCCCATGGAGCAACAAACTCTGGGAGAGGGGGTGTTCACAGAACACTTCTCAGAAGACATATTTTTAAGCTGACATTTGAAGAAGAAGTAGTTTGGCTAGTGAAGAGTGTAAAGACAGACTGCATCAGTTAAAGGGAATGGCACCTTGAAAGGCCCAAAAGGGAGAAAAAACCTAGGACACTTAGGGCTTCAGATAATCTTGATAGGGTCAGGAGACACACTGAGAACCAGAGAGGTTGGAGGGCTTGTCAATTATGCCTGGAGTTATGATTCAGCCTTGGGGCTAGGGTAGTAGTGACTGAAGGATTTCTAGTAAGGAGGGGCATGGCTTGAATTCAATTTGAAAGTCCACTTTAGGTAGTGATAAGGAAGACCAGAATAGCACATAATAGAAATAGGAAGTTGGATGAAATCAGTAGCTGTGGGAATGAAGAACAAGCAAGGATTTCGAGAGCTATCTGATCATGAGTTTTGGATTCGGTGCCTGATTGACAATAGGAAAGCAGACAGAGATAGGCCTTTGGCTCAACACTTGGGTTTGTCTTGGCCCATTGAGATGGGAGCAAGGGAAAAAAATATATTTGAGAGGACAAATAAATTTTGAATTATCAATATTGTCCTTTGAAAGATGCAGTAGAAAATGACCTGAGGGGAGTTGCTCTAGGTGCCAGTAGTTCATCAGAAAGCCTAGGGCTTGCTATTGCTGAAAGCCATGCAGAAAATGCTGCTGCTTCTTTGACAAGGGTCAGTTCTGTTCCTTTACACAGCATGGAAACTGTGTTGCCTCTGTGATTGGCCTACAGGATTCTGTGAGCACCAAGAGGAAGCTGCTTTCCTATGTGACTAAAAGGTGGCAGTGGGGTTTGTGAAGATCCTAGGAACTCTTTCTCATTTTGGATTGCTCCTGGCTTTATGAATGAAGGCTTATGCAGAAGTTTGGAGGGGCAGATGACTTGGCATTTTTCAGATGTTTTATAAGCCTCTTCATGGCTTGGACTCCCAGAAAAAGGACCCTCAAGGTTGTCATTTTGTCTCATGAGTTGAGAGAGAGGGGTACTGGTTACAATAAAGCTACTGCAATAAGAAAAAGGGCTTTCTTTTTGAGGAAATTCATTGTCTTGTAGTTGGGGTTGGATGAGTTAGAGGGTTTGAGGCTTGAGGATACCAAACATTTTGAGTACCCTTATCATTGAATGATTTATACATTGTATAGTATTTTTCTACCTTTTCCATAGGTTTTTGCATGGATCATTCCATTTTATTTTGTTTATCCTAGCAATACTATGAGGAAGCCCTTTCTTACTCTCTTTGAAAGATGTGGAAACTAAGATATAGAAAGGTTAAGTGACCCACCTGAGTTTTACAGCTGACTATGGGTAATGTTAGGACCAGAGCACAGTTCCTGACTCAACCCTATGCTTAATGATTAGGTTAAATTGCCTCTCTTTGTATGCTACAGTGGGAAATATAAAACTCCATTTGGCCTCTCACCTTTGGATTTTCCCATCTTTATAATCTTTGAAATGGTGTGGGGCCTTGCTGGAGAAGTCTTAGGACCCAGTCTCATTTGATAGTGCTTAATTTATCTGGTAAAGATATTTTGGCCTTTAGCCACTTCTTAGCCTATACTGGCCGATTAGTGCCAGGGAAGTCAGAAGTCTATCTAAAGATAAAAGACTCAAGAAACCTGTGGCACCAAGCATCTTTCTGTGTTCCATGCTGACCATAAGGGTGACAGAACAGAGCGTCTGTGCACAAGGATGTTGGAGTTGGTGCTAAAAGAGTTCATGGTGAAGACAGATTGTGGTTGAAGACTGTGAAAGTTCTTGAATGGGTTTTCTAGAGGCCTAAGCTCTGCCCTCTCAGAAGTCATTTATCCTACCAACTTCTTTGCATCCAACAGGATATTTTAAAGTGAATTTGGACATTTATCTGGCACTAGCTGTTGTCTAAAAGTTCCAATCTTTGTTTAGCTACTCTGAAGAAATATCATGGTCACAACTCTGCAACAGAAAACCCCTTACATTCCAAGAAAAACTGGAAGACATTTTGGTGGCTTCTTTTTGTACTTCTGGACTAGTCAACTGCTGAAGAATACACACAATCCTTTCCTTAATGCTGTCTGAGGGAGTCAAAACATTAAGCATCACAGAAAGCTCTGAGTTCCAGTTCATCTGCAAGAAAGACTTCTTTGCTGCTGTTCATAATATAGTGCAGATCTACCACAAAGGACTTTAAGGCCAGCAGGATGCTGCCTATGGCTTAAAAAGAGTCTGGGATATAATATACACTTCCAGTAAATGATAGAGAAGCAGTAAGCATTCCTATGACCCAGATTAAGAGTGATGCAGAAGAACAAAGGATGATGACTCAGGTTGATAGCATTTATGCCATTATCAAAGTACTTTGATGCCTGAACTCTTAATTTATCTCTTTATAATAGCTGAGATTTATATCAACCTTTGGAGGAGGAGATTAATGCCTGGAGATGGGAAATGACTCATTTAAACTCATATTCAAAACCCTGGCATATATGAGGAAATACGAAGCATCTTTAGTCTCCAAATACACAGCAATAGATCAGATCATGGGTACTCAACCTCAGCAATGATCTTTTCTTCATAGCCTGACCCTCACAGTAGCCAGAATATTCCCAAGGCCTCGTGAAGCACTCTTAGGGCATTTCCTATATCCTGATCAGTTCTACTCTGTCCTACTCAGGAGAAAAGGCAAACACTCCCCAAGTCTGTATTTCTGAATTTAACACCCTTTAAGAAGCTTGTGTTCTTAATTTTGTCTTGATTTCGGTCACAAACCAAATCCAAGATCTTTGCCTAGGTCTCCTGGCCCATGAGAAAACAAGCCTTTGCTGGTAGGCTGTAAATTTCTTCCAGTGACCTGAGTAAACCTCTGACCAATTCTTCTGAGCCTCCAAGTCTTTCACTCATCTCTTTCACTTCAGACTTATTGGACCCTCCTTATTCTTTTTGCCTTACTTCTCCCCTCAGAATCAGTGATAATGTTTTTTTTTTCTTTTCTTTTCTTTTTTTTTTTTTGACACTAAGGATTGAATCCAGGAGGAGATCTACCACTGAGCTACATCCTCAGCCTTTTTAAAATTTTATTTTGAGACAAGGTCTTGCTAAGTTGCCCAGGCTGTCTTCAAATGTACAATCCCCTGCCTCCTGAGTTGCTGGGATTACAAACGCAATGCACCACTGCACCCGGCTCCTCTTTACTTTTGTGATATCCCCAGGTCATCAGGGCACAGGGCACGTTTTTATTGCCCATGAACCTTTTTCCAATTGATTTTGGTCAGTTTGCATATATCAGCATATTTACTTCCATAGGAATAGCCTTCAGTAGTACAAGAGCTTTTCATTTGAGATGGAAAATCATTTACTGTCAACAAGAGCAACAACTTTACTATAAAAATAAACATGTAAAACCAATTACTGGAAAAGTTAATCTATTCTTCACTTATCTTATTCAGCT